TGTGTGTGTGTGTGTGTGTGTGTGTGTGTGTGTGTGTGTGTGTGTGTCCTTTTCCTGGACACATGTCCCATGGTGGAGATAAGAATGTCCTGCAAGGAACAGGAACAGCTCGGCAAACAGTTGTTTACCTCTTAATCCAGTTGAAGCCTTCGCTAGGATTAAGCTCGCAGCAAACTCACCACACTACTTAGCATCCATCAAATATTCATCATAATCATGCTCTTCATATTTTCTGGGCCTGCACTGTGTAAGGGGCAGGGTTGTTTTTTTGTTTTCTCCACTAGAAGGTCATTTTTGCCCTAATCAACTAACCTCTGTTCCACAGCTGGACACAGGCATCATCTATCGTTCAATCCTTATTGTAGTAATGTTGTGGCTCTCCACAATATAGTCTGTTGAAAGGATGAGTGGGCAGATGAGAGAAGGGAAGCGTGTGGAAGCATTGTCTTCAGTAGTGTTTTTCTATCAAACTTAAAATTGAGCATGATTATATTCTCCCTCCTCTTTCTCATCACAATAGTAAGCTGTCGTTTTAGAAAGTGACATTGGCAGTAGAACTAAGCAGATCACTGCCAGCCAATTGCTTAATATAATTATTGCTATCACGCACAGAATGAACATCATCATAGGCAACAGGGCCTTGTTTTATGGAGTGTACTGCATAGTCTACAATGTACAGAATTCCCCTGTTTTGAAATGGTGTTGTGTTAGAGACTGTTGCTCAACACAATGACAATGTTACCCTGCAGGTCACTGACATTCAGAAAGAAGGAAGTATTTATTGGGACTCCATGAAAACAATGTGCCGTGCCATTTGATGACAGGAAGTCAAGGGTTAAATACTTTTGTTTCTGACTGACAGGCTTTGTCTGAAGTCCAGCGGAACTAGGGTCATTGTGTCACTGACAGTAATTAGGGGAATAATTAAAAAGAGAAACGTGTTGCGGTGTCTCATTACCTCACAAGATAACTATGTGCCACTGGAAGGAGTTTGCTTGCAAGAAGTGGACAGTGGAACTATCCATAGTCAAAAACACATTAGTGTTCTCAGATTTTCCCAATGTTTTTGTGAACCACTGTTTGACACTTCCCCAGAGGCTCTCGGTGGGAGCATGGAGAATGTCAACTAAATCCTCCAGATGATACAGAGGAATTTGCAGCACTGACAACCTCCTCCACACAGCTGGATTTATGCCAAAGCTAATGGCCTTTCCGTGACAGTTTAACGTTCTTGTTGAAATGTGAACACAAGGCTTTGCTCCCAAGATACTGTTGTTGTTACTTTGATCAGCAAAGGGGTTCGGTGTTCTGTTAGCTTTGAGCTTTTGAGGTTAATATCACCCGAGAAGTTTTATGTAGATCACTCTGGATAAAGTATGTGAAGGAACCAGAGATTAAATCTATTTCTTGAGTACTGTAAGAAAGATGCAATTAACTAGTAGTAGTTTTTTACGTACTAGTTGTAATTTTTACTACTCGTTTAACTAGTGTACCTCATTGGGTTGGGACCCCTTGTTTAAGCTAAAACACGTACGTTTTTTTCCCACAATAAAGAAGATGACCCCTTATCTGTGAGTGCAGATTCTGTATTTCTCTTGTCATTTCTTAGACCATGTACTCGCTAAACTGTTCTAGATTAGAAGCCTAGATGTACCCACATTAAAAATGGAATCACCAAATCCACCTTAATTGTTTGGTCATGAAGCCAATGGAAATACAGCAGCACCGACATTATCATTAGCAAGTCATAAATTGCATGCTGTGTGCTTGGTGCACTTTCCAAAAATACACACTTCATTTCCTGTTAAAACACCCAGAGGGTCTGCCCGAGGAAAAAATACAATTTCCAGTTATGAGCTGAAAAACACGGTTGTAGAACAAATGTGATTTGTATATAAGCAGTCAAACTCACTGTGGATCAAAACAGCAATCAGGGTGCAGTATTCAGGTTTGTTCATATTGTGTGAAGCACCTGTAAGGTTGAGTCGTGAGGGAACGAAAATCATTAAAGTACAGTTCAGTGTTTCTTATAAATGTTTAAGCATGATATTTTTTCTGGACAGCAGTGGCTTTACACTGAAGATTAAGGGTGGTGTTTGTAGAGGAGTTGTGCTCTGTAGGTCATGCACTTTCTTTGCTGATCTCTGTGGCATGAAACCATGCAGTTCTTCCTTGTTGGCCACGCTGATAAAGTATCTACAAACCTAGTGACTGGATGATTATGGTTCGTCTCTGCCCACACATACAGCTATATGTGGCTGAGGAGATACTGTAAGATAGCTGACATTCACCCCCCCCCCCCCACACACACAAACACATACAGTTTTGCTTTAATGAGGTAAATGCAGGATGTTTTTTACATTTAGCAGTTTGCAAAAGTACATCTGCTGCTATAGTGGTGTAAGGTTGTCTTGTCGTTGTATGATTCCCATAAGTGATGCAAGAGATCTGCATGACTTTTAGCTTTTCTTCAACCTTCCTACCACACAGACGGGGACATGTTTTTAAGATGCTGACTCTGCCAATATTTATCTAAAACAAACATTTGTTCACCATGGGCTGATGAAAAGTGAATGACAGCGTGGTAGGAAAACATAAGAGGAAGCATGAGTAAGATCTGATGTGCAAACTTCCCTGTGAAATTGCAAACACTTTCATCCAGATGTGGTTTGAATGGTCTTTGTTACTGCGTGACATTCCTGCCATCTATTGAGTCGTTAAATAGAGACAAAGAGTTTTAACCTGCTGCAGTTAAGTACATTTTGTGACAGCCGGGGTTGTAACAATGCCTCAGTTCTATAAATACACACAGCAGTACATTCATATCACAAAGCATAACTGTGAATTAATCAACTCAAATAGATTTTGCCTCTACTGCAAGCATACAACAGTCCTGAGTTGTCTGGTGAAGTGAACGCTTACAAGTCGTACACATGAGAATCTTTCCCGTCCCTACAATCGATCCGTGGTGTGAAGTCACCATATGGTCTTGTTTGTGTGTGTGTTACCGTAGACACTTTTTAGCTTAATCCTCCGGCGACTTCATACATAACTCCAACTGTAGACTTTATTTACCATAAAAGAACTGCATGGAGAAATATGTTCGTCACACAAAAACACAAAAGATAAGACCATATGAAACTTACACTGTCAATGAGTACTGTAACCTCTTATGCTGCTTTTACCTTCAACAGCAGCATTTCTTTCACACTTTGCTCACACTTGACTGATTCAGTATTCATGTCAGTAGACTCTTTCCCTTCCTGCACCATGTCTCCTTGCAGTTATGTTACTAATCGTGTTGGTGGGAAATTCATTAAAAACCTGTAATTGTGGTCTGGGATTCCACGTAGTTATTATAGAGGTTTCGGTCTTGAGTAATAAAATCTCTGGACCTCGTCCAAAAACGCAAGAGGTTTTAAGACGTGTCTGCCTCTACTGTTGAATGGGTCATGGGAAAATGCAAAAACAAAATGCAGTTGCGTTGCTTAACTTGTTTTCCATTGTTTATTTTAGTTGGCAGAGAGACACGTGGAGAGAAAAGGAGGAAGAAATGTAATTGTTTATTGTAAATGGTGTCAGGGCAGAGAGAAAGACAAAGAGAGGCCAGTCACCATACAGTGTGTTCCACAAATGATAATGTGGCTGTCAGTATTGGCAGCACATGAGTGGAACTTTACATTAAAAACAGTTTTAGGCCAATATAAAAAAATTAAAAAGATAAACCTCGGCATTTGATATTGGTGCTTCGAATTCATCTCGCCAATTTGTCCCTTCTCCAAAACTTGACTCAGCAGCAACCCAAAGACTTTAGGAGGAGGCTGAATTTAGAAATAAACACAATCTGGCATCAGCAGGCTAGAATTTCTACAAGCACATAGATGTAAGTAGCCAAGTTATCACGAAAGTTTGGCCGATTTAACATCAAAGCAGGAGTTTCTTTTTTTTTTTTCTCCACAATGTCACAGATGCATGTGAAGAGCTCTGCACACAAAGATAAATGGACTGAGGGCTGACGGACTGACCTGTGTGTTTGTGTTTCAGGGGAGCTTTCTCTGAGGTGGTCCTGGCTGAGGAGAAGAGGACCCAGAGATTGGTGGCTATCAAGTGTATCCCCAAGAAAGCTTTGGAGGGCAAAGAAAACAGCATTGAGAATGAGATTGCAGTCCTGCACAAGTAAGTGTATTTCTTTAGTAATCGAAAAAAAACAATGAAGTACAACGCCATATAAAATAAACATGTGTTTTTAAGCCAGTATGTATTGTAATCACAAACCTTTACATGTTTGCCGATGTGCAGCATTAGCCTGCATCCGAAATACTAGCGACAAAAGTGGTACTTTTTTCCTCACTGTATCTCTATTACTGCATCATGTAAGTTGTATCACATTACTAGATACCATATATGTCGTATATGATATATACTGCACCTAATATGCATCATATTGAGCTTTTAAGACGGATCCATATGTCTGGATTCATATATTCAGTGAGGAAAGGGCCAGTTCACTCAAACTCATCTAACCAGCTGATAGAAAATTCACGACCAACTTGTATTTCAGGAAACAATTTCCTGGTTATTCAGGTAGGAAAGAAACTCGCCTCACTGTGAAGTGTTTTCATTGGAACTAGTTTCTACTGAAGAAATAGTTCCTGTGAAACCTGTTCTGTGGATTAACCAAGCCCCCAGAAAAGCGCTGGGATTTGAAGCAAAGTTTACATAGTGGCCAAACTGTAGATTACAATTTTCGGGGAAATCATTTGATGCCATTGGGCCCAAAAATACTGTATCCAGTTATTTTTATACATCCATTGGAATTAACCTGACCTGCAGCTTCTGGGGAAAAAAGAAAAGAACACTGCAATGGTTTGTGTACGTGTAGTTTGCTGTGACCATCGTTGCATTAAACACAATAGCATTTAACCTCCAAGTGACAATAACACTCCTTGTACTTGTGGAGCTGTTCAAACGTACTTTCTTCAGATGTGGGGAATTACAGACCACGGTGAAAATGACTGATCTACGTTGTGTCCCAAGTTATTTTTAGAGCTCTTGTTGCCTGGGTTACAGGAGACACAACTCTAGCCAATATACAGCTATGATCCGTCCTGAGGTGAGGCTGAAGGAATGACAGAGGTGGGGGTTAGTTACCCTTTCGACAAAAATCATTGTTCGTTTGCTTTGTCTGAAGTTTGTGTAGACTCGTACAAAGGTTTCCTTGGTAATTTTAACACGTCATCCTCAAACCCCCCTCGGTACACAGAGCATGTGGACAGGGTCTGACAGAGTTGTATTTCCTTAAAGCTTCATTAATCCATATTTTCATATTAACAGTGGATCAAATGACTACACTTAATGTGAGAGGCGTAGCTCATAGTGATAAACCTACAGAGATTCATCAACCGACGCTGAAGTCACCCTCAGCTCTGTAATCTTTCAGACCATTGTTTTGCTTTTTTTACGGTTCACAACGTTAATGTTTGGAGTCGCTCTCACCACTCTCATCCGTCTTATTTCCAGCAGCGTTTCGGAGTTAAGAACCAGATATTTTCTGATGCTTTGAAGGTGTATTTATAAGTAAAAATAGTTTTATATATTAACATTTCCTTTGGATTGCAGGAAATCAACAGATACATTTCCTCCTTTTGGATTATTCAGTCCAGTTAAAGGTGTAATCACAGCCAAATGTTGGGGGGGAAACAGCCAAGCCGAACTAACAATCAGTATTGATAACATTAAATTGATTGTGTACCTGCGTAATTGTTAAAAATAAAATCCCACTTTTGTGTCAACAATGTACAATTGTCCCATATAACGACACTGTCTACTTTTTTATTCCTCCCCACAACACTGAAGGTTTACAGTGACGTAAACCTGCTCTCTTGCTTTTGACCACAGGAGACAGTTGGCACCTAAACATGTTCTTCTGTAATAAACATGCCTGAGACTGAAAGGGTAGCAGAACATTATACGGCCTACACTATATCCGCTCTTCCTTCCTGCGATGAGCCAAATCCGTCATCTTGATTTTTCCTCAAGGGCTCCTGTTGTCTGTCGCTGTAATTTATTGTTGTTAAACTTAATGTTTACAACCTGTGTAAAGCACTTGTCACAGTGTTTTGATTTGAATATGAAAATACGTTAATTTATTGTCAGTTTAGTGTCTAATAGCCCAGTTTGTGTTGGATACACTCAGTCAACTCATCTCTGTTCTGATCACTATTTGTTAGAAGCCTAACAGTAGTTTGATATACTGCTAATGTGGCCGTATGGTATCCTCAAATTGGTTAGCTGGCTCTTCATCCTCTCCCCCTTTTATCCAGACCAAATATTTACTCAAACACAGACATGTGCAAATACAGTGACTAATCGCATGCTGCTAACCCATTTGTAGCCGTGCCAGAAGAGTTGGTGTGAAGTTGCTACTATGAAGACTTTTTAACATGAAATGTCAAGTTGGTCGATTTCAATTAATGTTGGACTCCTAACAATTGTGTGCAAAAACACTAAAAGAAGAATTAATGTAATTCCAAAGGACCTCGGGCTGTGATTACTTACATTAATAAACGCTGTAATTATTTGAGAAACTCAACAGAATATGGATTAAAGAATCAGTAGATCTGCCAATTTCACCCAGATGTCTGATGCAGTCATTACTGCAGAGCTGGTAACTCTGTCCTCTAATTCGCCGACTTCTATGTTGAGATGACTCACCAGCTCTCAATAGACATTTCTCTCTGACAATCACCATGGCCACTGTGTCCGCCATGAGTTCATCACAAACACACTTGCACAGAACTTCAAATGAAATGCATCTTTTTTGCATGTTTTTGACCTTCTGTAATTATGTGTAAAAGTGCATGCTTGAGCTCACACGATTTGCATGTGTCCGTTTAATCCATCATTCATCCTTCACTGGGTCCATCTCTCCTTCCACACTGAGCTAAGCAGATAAATGAGGGTGTCCATGTACTGTTACAATCTGGATGAGAGTCGTTGCCGTAATCCAGCATGAGCTCATGCTGACTCATACTGTACACAGTTATCTCTGGTACAGCTCAGGCACATGGCTTTGTGTTGTCTTTGTCCTTCTACCTTCAAGCACGCATTCATAGTCCAAATACTGAGGTCAATTAAACGAAAGGGTTGCACACAAATAAATATAACAAGATCATCTGACACTTTCTAATACTAATGCTGATATGATACCTGAGTTCTGGCATGATAACAAAATATTTGTCACCATACTGTGCCTTACTTTTGGAAATAAGAACATGTTTTTAACTAAACAAGCCACACTAAACACAAGCAACAATGAAATACATTTCTCGAAGTAGGAATGGCAAAATATTGACAGGAAGTACCTGGTGGAAGATTATGTAAACAACATTATGAACACTTCGGTTTATACCAGAAAAAGTAGTAAGGTTTAAAACCCAACCCTACAATTATTATGGTGGAAGGTGAAACAACCATTAAATACATATATTATATAAAAGGAAAAATAAAGGTTTAAACAGACACAACACCGTCTTATATCCTAAAATTGTTGTTTTATGGTGCAAAAAGACACTTGCATCACCCCTAGTTTACAAAGGTAGAATTTATAACAGATTAGTTGTAGGGATTTGCATTAGATTGTAAGGTGTACCTAATAAAGTGGCCGCTGAGTGTAACACAGGTATGATATATACCGTTGTCATACCAATCTTGATCTTGTGTGATTCATCTTTTCATCCCTGTCACCGCACCGGCAGGTCTCAAGGGGCAGCAGAGTACAAAGTTAAGCCAATTAGGGAGCTGAATGCCACCACACAGTGTAGCACATGTGACTGTTGGATGCAACTCTGTGGTGGATACTTACACTGACTGTGAGATCTTGTCAAATACTAATGGCTAAATGAAAAAGAGTTCTCCTCTCTCCTTCTTCACAGGCTTAAACACACCAACATCGTATCTCTGGAAGAGATATTTGAAAGTAAATCACACCTCTACCTGGTCATGCAACTGTGAGTATTCGTGTGTGTGTGTGTGTGTGTGTGTGTGTGTGTGTGTGTGTGTGTGTG